CCCCCGAACACACTCTCTGTTTCAGTTACTGTTCGACCATCCCTACAGCAGGAAGTTAGAGACAGAAGCAGATGAAGTTGGACTCCAGCTGGCCGCTAAGGTCTGGTGTCATAGTATGCCTGTTACATTTCTTATTCATTTTAAGAACAGAATTTAGAAAAAGCGCATTCCCATTATTTTATTTTACTTTTTAATTTTATTTAAATTTTTAAATGTATCTAATTCAGATGCTAATTGTGTTTTGACCAATTTTATAAAAAAAATTGAAGGGGTTTTTAGACGTTTGATTAAATGTTTGTTTTTTTTAAATTTGTGACCCTTAAAATGGAAAGCACCATATCAAATATGATTATAGCACAATAATTATATCTCTTCTTGGCCCTTGACAGACTAGCTAATTGAATCTGCAGTATATGCGCATCCTAATTATGGTGAGATTTTCCAGCTTGGCTGATATATGCAGCAGATAGTACTCTAGCTGCCATCTGCTCAACAGACAGCAGGTGGTGCTGTAGGAAAATGTACAGAGTCATGTAAGAACTTTCCATCATCAATGATTCTCTGTAGTACAAGATGGTTGCTTGGCACATTTGTAGCTTGGGTATTCGTTGATATTGTGAGAAACAAGCTCCTCAAGCTGTATAAGAATTACAGCACATCTGTCGGAAAACCTCTCTGGGTACATAACTCTTTAAAAGAAAGACTTACTGCAGTATGGTTAAAAAGCAGCAGATGTCCGCTTTCTGGATCAGCTCTTTTCTTCCCGTATTTCTAAATGCTTCCACCTGCTACCAAAACCTTTAAAGGGTAACAATGAATATGGAAAATTATATAGAATAGAATAGAATTACTTTATTGTCTTTGTAACAAGTTACAAGAAAACTCACTGTGAGTGATTCCGTAGCGATGCTTTGAGGTACATGTGAATATTAGGGGAAATTTAGAACGTAAAGCAATTGGAGCTCATTCGTAGTTAACTTTATGAATGGCCTCTCAGTCTGCTCCAGTATTATACCAGTAGGTGTAATATCATAAACAGCGCCCCCTGTCTCCCACTCCAGGCGTGTGCGGATGTGCGGGGCCTGCCACTCTTCTGGCAGCAGATGGAGCGGGAGGAGCAGCAGAACGGGAATCTGGAGCTGCCGGAGTGGCTGTCCACGCACCCGTCCCACAGAAACCGCTCCAGCCGGATGGAGCGCCTGATCCCGCAGGTGTGTACTGCAGCACGTGAGAGACGGACGCCGGCAGACACACTGAGCCCTGTGGGTAATTAGCCCCCCCAGAGGGGCATGGACGCCATCTTTGGTGTCTACATTGCTGTGTAATCTCACACTTCCAGCTGCTCTTTTTGTTACTGGGGTGAGTAACGTTACCAGCTGACTCTCGCTTCAGCCGGTAAACCGGGGCTTCAGGTGTCATATACTGGTGGCTTGGTGGGGGGGCCGTCATCGTTAATAAGACATTCAGAAGAGGGGCTGCCTTTGTTGAACCTTTATTAACCGAAAAATTAAATCCATAATGAGTACTCTGAGTAGGAGGTGCCTGATGATTTGCAACACGGGGGCCTGCCGGTCCCTATGGAGGTCTGTGGGGGCCTGCCGGTCCGTGTGGGGGTCTGCGGGGGTCTGTCGTTCCCTGTGGGGGTCTGCGGGGGCCTACCGGTCCCTGTGGGGGTCTGCGGGGGTCTGTCGTTCCCTGTGGGGGTCTGCGGGTCTGTCGTTCCCTGTGGGGGTCTGCGGGCGCCTGCCGGTCCCTGTGGGGGTCTGTCGTTCCCTGTGGGGGTCTGCGGGGGCCTGCCGGTCCCTGTGGGGGTCTGCGGGGGCCTACCGGTCCCTGTGGGGGTCTGCGGGGGCCTACCGGTCCCTGTGGGGGTCTGCGGGGGCCTGCCGGTCCCTGTGGGGGTCTGCGGGGGCCTACCGGTCCCTGTGGGGGTCTGTGGGGGCCTACCGGTCCTTGGCAAAGCCTGGCAGCTTCGGCAGCCTGCAGCTGGCTGGGGAGGGGCTGGGTGGCACGCTGTCTGTCAGCCCCCCCTGATCAAACACAGGTCTGTACCTAACATTGCTAAGTGATGGAAAACTTGTGCTTTTCATCACAAATCATAGATGGTTTGATTAAACTTACAGTGAGTTGTAACTCTCGTATGTGTTTCACATGACAGCGGTTTCAGCCACTTTCCCTAAATTGCATAAAACCATTACTTGTCCTACCTTAGTCACCTGTGATGAACAAGGTTTGTCCATTTTTTACATATCAGCAATAGCATTGTTAAATGACACAGACCTGTTCTGCTCCAGGGTCAGTCTAAAGTGTTTTCCTTTTTTTTGCTGCTGTTGTGCTGTATCCTTTTCCGGCTGATAAGTTCTCCTGCTGCCCCTATGTGGCCATGTTGAGCAGGAGCTCCTGTGACTCTCAGGGACACCTCTGCCCTGTCAGGGACCCCACTGCCCTGTCAGGGACCCCACTGCCCTGTCAGGGACACCTCTGCCCTGTCAGGGACCCCACTGCCCTGTCAGGGACCCCCACTGTCCAACCTGAACGCTCCATTTTAATCGCGCTTTAAATATCAGTAATCGCACGGAGACTGTCTGATAAGGGTTCCCTGTAACGGACACACTTTTTAGTTAACTTGCATAAATTGTCACTGCACCCTGTCACGGCTGCTGTGCTTCTGTCCCCCGTGTGTCCCCAGGCCCTGGAGTTGAGGGCCAGCTGTAACTGCCCTGCTCTGCCACGCCTGCCCCCCCAGCTTGTTGTCTCAGGGAGTGTGCGCCCCCTGGAGGACGGGGAGGGGAAGCAAAATGCTGTCACAGCCAAGGACCCCGACCACCCCCCCCACCCCAGATGCCAGAGGCCTCTCCCGCACACCGGCGGACAAATCCCGACTCGGGGACGTGCTTGAGGCCACCCTGGGGAGTCGACCTTCCCATCACCTGACAGGGGATATCAGGAGGAATCTGGAGTCTCCTCCAGTCCGGACCTGAACTCAGTCCTGCTAAGCTGCTCATATGTACTGATCTGAAATGGAGTCTCCCTGTCTCTCCATTGCTACATTTTTTCTGGCCCACCTGCTGTGCACAAATATTAAATGTATGTTTTATATATGAATGAAATAAAAATATATTGAAATACATACTAGCGCATCATGCTGCTTGACCACTAGCAGGAGCTGGAAATGGTTACTGGGAGAAATGTAAAATACTAGAGGCCAAGCGAATATCTGGCTGAAACAAGAATTCAGCATGAATAATGCGTTCTTTCCGAAGCCAACTGTCACCCGATAATTAGTGACGAATACTCATGTCTGTCATCAGTGCTTCTTTCCATTTTCTGTTGTGCGTTGTATTACGTGTGGTTTAAAATCTCTTGGTGAGACATAGGCTTGAGTAATATTGTAGTAGCAAAATTAGATGCCGCCCAATTAAGTCTACTTATGCTGCTTGTGTACTTTAAGTAAACGTTCCGCTTGCTCTTTCTGCATTGGTTCATTTTACATTATACTGCAGACAGTATTTTGGAGGTATTTTCAAACAATATATTGATTTCTTATTAACATACAGGCCTATGTGTGCCTATGAATTTGAGTTATTTTGTGCTGATTAAATAAAAAGCTTATAAAAAGTATATTATGTTACCAAATACAATTAAAATGGTTGCAGCACAATTTTAAATTGCTTGCATGTACTGGGCAAATACTGGAGAGGCTAATCGCTCAACATATCTGACTGGCCCCCCTGCTCAGCAAATCTGATTGGCCCCATCATAGCTGTTGATAAATTTTATGGGCATACTGAATACTAAAGTTGGCCATCTCTGGTCTAGACTCTGCCGCCCTTTGAGTGAAATTAAATGTGGGCCAAAAAAAAACATTTGATGAAATTAACACATTAGTTTTTAAGAGAAAAATTCATGATTTGATGCAGATATGTGGAACCCAAGCTGCATCCTTACCTACTGCTCCACCGTAGTAATACACAGAAATGTATCTTATCTTTGACTTTAATTGGCAAATGGCTCCAGTGAATGGTTTGGTTTCAGTAGCCATTATATTTACCGCAGTATTTTCCAGGTGTCAGTCTGTCACATGAAAGGAGAGACTTATCCGTGATGTTATTACAGCTACCAGCTTGGAAAGCAGACGGATGCGGTTTGTGCTTTAAAAGCAATATCATTTCTAGGTGGCCATGTTCTTTATTGTAGGCCTATTTAATGTGGAACATGCAGACTTTCAGTTTTATTGTAGAACATGTAGCTCCCAATTGACAATGTTTTCTAGTAAATTTGAATGTTATGTATACATGGTGTATGGGCCAAATTGTATACTAACGTTTTTTTGTGCGTTACTGTAAGTACCGCATGGACAAACTTTAGGCTTGAACCATGATCCTTATCTTGAGCTTGCAGCTGAGAGCAGTATCAGTCGGAGCTGTGAGAGGTTAGGCTGCTGTGCCTCTTTTAATGTCTTTTACGCTGCGTCTGTCCTCTTGATCTCTCTTTGAGAGCCGGCAGCTTTGTGGTTAAAACGGTTCCCATTTCGTGCTTTGAATCCTTACTGCCTGTTTCCTGCCTCCCATTGGGGTCCAGCAGAAGAAACTCATTAGAAATCCTAAAATTACGTTGGAAACACCGAGCTACCCCGAGCCGTCTCGATATTCCCAGTCACAATTTACAGGACTGTACACACATTAAAAACACACGCTGGGTAATGATTCATGCACTGGGAATAAGGAAAATGCCTGGTGTGCGTTTGATGAGTCCATGTGAAGGTTTTGGTTAGGTTTAGGGTTAAGGTTTGGATTGGGATTGTATTTGGTTACCAACTAAATCCTTGGTCATGGATAAAGGATTTGTACACGTGTCGTGCAAGACATTACGGTCAGATAGTGTTTCTTTACATATAACAAGTTCATCATGTTCACTGTAGTAAAACCTACAATTATCCGTAAGGGGGTGTTTTGGTTCTTCTTGGAGTGTTTGGGGGTGTATACTGACCGGAACATCAGGGTTGCCAACTCTCACGCATCTGGAGTGACACTTGCTTTCAGACTCTCACGCTCACACAAGAAACAGGGTAAATCTGTAGAATACCATTATAAACCTAAAATTAGCATTGGGATACAGTAGTTTGCACACCCTACAGCCTATATACAGGGTAATAAAACTGCTACATACATGTAAATGCGTGTACAGACTTGTCTCGAATTTAAAATCTTACTCCAGTCAGCTGGCCAAAGTTGGCAACCCAGCATCTACAGGAGTTTTTTGAAAGCCTGTTCTGCACCTGACCATATTGATACGCACATCTTCATTAGAACAACACCATTCAGTCGCACACTCATAATTACTTGTAATTGCAGCCACGATTTGGTCAGCTTTCCCTGTGGCTCTTTGCTTTTTTTTTTACGGGTACAGCCGGCTTCTTGCAGGCTTCCGCACACAAATACGACTAAGTGCCAGGGGACAGCGTGAACCGGGGTGGGGGCTGTGCTGGAAACCCTCACTGCAATTTAACTGGAAGAAAAAGGTGAGGTGGGGGCCTGGGGGACCGCAGAGTGTCTGTCAGCTGCTGTGCTGTAAAAATAAAATAATGTTTGACCCCCATGCCAAACAGCACCGGCCAGACCCCTGGGCACCTACTGTATCATGTCTGCGCTCTCCCTGCAATCACATTTACATCCTCCATAGTGCTCTGGGTTTTCTAATGCATATTTTAAAACAAAAAAAAAACATTCAGGTCCAACCTGTTTTACCACCAAAAGGTTTTGGTTGCTGGCTTGTTTGTAGTTTTTGTTCATAGGTCAGGGTGAACCTTACCAGTGCCCCCCACAATCGGCGTGGGGATACTGCTCACTTAACACAGTGCTACATGACATTAAAGTGTGAGAAACAAAAAAGGTTTACAGTTACAAGCCAAGGTCGGTGAGCACTGTAGACCTGAGTAGTTGAAAAGGTGTTTTCCGCGCTGTCTCTGTGGGTTCAGCAGCAGCAAATGTGGCCTGCTGTGTGTATAACTGCAAGTGAGACAGGCCTAAGTTTAAAATGTGGGTATTGTAACAAGGCATGAAAGGCCTGAATCAAGGTTTTTTTTTAACTTTATGTTTTGATAAGGGAAGGTACTGCCCATACAACCTAAGCAATCATGGTATTTATGTTCAGTCTTTCTTACCTGCCCAGTTAAAGTTGTTACTATCTGCTCCCTGAAGCCACTTTTTGACCCAGCTGCTAAAAACAGATCTGTGTGTCTTACATGAGAAATGGCTTAAGGTAAAACAGGATACATTTTTCTTTCTTTAGTATTTTAGCTTAAAATGAAGGCTTCTACTGTTAATGGCCTCATCCATCCATCCATCCATCCATTCATCCATCCATCCATCCATCCCTCTTCTAACTGGCGTCAGGGTCACAGGGATTTTATGTAGGTTTGTGAATGTTGTATTTTTTATAGTTATAGAAAAGGAATTTTCAATGGCGCTTACATTGAATTGGATGTGATGAAGTCCAGGTGTGTCAGGTCAGACTGTGTAATTCACGGCTCCTCATAGGATTTTCACAGCCTCTTCAAATGCATCACTAAATCTTCATATCACACAAGCAACAGAAATGATAAATAATACCTCAGACTCTTCCCAAACCCATTACCTGTGTCCCCTGCAATGGACGGACATCCTGTCCACAGCGCCCTCTCCTCCCTGCAATAGATTCTTGACTCAACGTGAACCCTGTACTGGACACATGGCTATGGGAGATAATGGAAGACGGATGGATTTTGTTGCCCAAATAAATAATTACTACATGTGGGAACACATCCAGACCGGCCTTCTAGAAAGGAGCAGTGCCTTGGAGCCTTAAAGCGTTGCTCCTTTAAGCCAATTTAAATTCATGATCTAGTCTAGTGAAAGATAATTCAGAAGAGATTCGGGGGCGGGACCTTGCCTACTGTTCTGCTTCTTCCTCTGATTGTGGCGTGGCGAGTCGACCTAATGAAGCCGTCCTCTTTGGCAAGTGGCTGCAGCTGTTTTCCATGACAGCATTACGGGCAGCAGTGCTTTGGTTAGTACGATTGTTTCCTCTCACATCCAGCTTTGTGTGTTTGAATCCTGCATCTGCTCCATCTGCGTAGGTTTCCAGTAAGTACCCTCCAGTTTCCTACCATAGTCCAAAGACTTGCTGTTTTGTTCATTGGTGTCTCCAAATTTCCTATAGTGCACAACCATACATGTATGTGCCCTGTAATGGGCTGATATTCTGTTCGGTTTGTGTCCTGTGGTGCCGGGCTGGACTGCAAGCTCCCTATAAGTGGTTGGAAATGTATGGAAGGAGAACAGAGTTGCATTAATGAGACAGCCAGAAGGCATGTAAGGGTTAATGTTTGGAGTGCATTAACCTGCTTATACCGTGGACTTTATACAATACTGTATATTATTGTCATGTTTCCGAACCAAAAATGCATTTTTTTACTAGAACTAGGCTTAGTACACCGTATAATTTCCTTTTACTGAAACTGTATCTTCAGGGAACATTTCAAAATACCGAAATAGTGTTTCTTTTTAAAATATCGTTGAAATACCACATACTGCGGTGTAATGTCTGGACGGGAAGAAAATTGGATATCACCCAAGCCTAATACTATTAAACATTTTGCTTATATATGCCCCAAGTCACTGTCTTTAATTCGAAAACAGTCCATTGCTAAGACCATAAGCCAGTTGTTAGTTTAACATTGCCTGCTGCTAAACCCAAAGGCCAGTCTTTATGTACCAACGTGCAACTAAAATGTATAATAACACACAGCTGAGGCAACAGAGAAATGTGTGTGTGTGTGTGTGTATATATATATATAAAAGGCTACTGTGTCAGTAATTTTTCTTTATGCATCTCCTGGAATTCAGATGCATTATGGGTAAAACAACTTATTTTCTGTTTAATGATTATTAAAACTGAACTTGTGTACCAGCTCCTTTAGGCAAGTTACACAGGACTGTATTTAGAACTAAAGATAGTTGGCCATTGATTTACGACTGTGACTCCCCTGGCTGGCACTACATGTGTGGTTCAAGAAAATTAATTAACACCCTTCAGATTTGAGAATTAAGCAGTGCTGTGGTATAAAGTGAATTGTCCACTGGGGGGCAC